AATACACTTTGAAACATAATTAGGTAATTCTATGTAGTTGCTTTCTTCAATGCCTGTCAGATCATCAAAAATCGCGAACAAGAACCTCAATCGAAAGTAGCTGCGTCTTAAAAACAAAGGTTCCCAATCAAATAAACGTTTAGACTCCGTTACGATGTTGTTTCTATTATATTTTTCTCTTACAAATCTCGCCGGCACGGTTCTGAAGTTTTTCCAGCTTATCTACAAACTACTTCCAATGCGGATCCCACAATACAGATGCATATTCCAGTGAAGGTCTTACAAACAGCAATACGGAGAGCAAAAAGTTTTGGTGACGTCAGGAAGACGCCGAGTTCCGATTGGCTCTGATTGAAGGAGGGCAGACCTCAAAGCTAGCTGCCTCGAGATCTACCCACTATCCTTCAATCAGAACCAATCAGAGCTCGGCGATTTTCTGACGTCACCAAAACTCCTGCAGAAAAAGTAGACGAACTTGCGCTCCACATACTTCGAGAAACTGAGGGAGAGGAGGGGAGGAGAGCGCGCGTGGACTTCAGAAGGCCGAGCTCTGATTGGAACGATTAGTGGGTAGACCTAAAGCTAGCTGACTTTGTCTACGCTGTACTCGCCGAACGCGTTAAAACACGGAACTGAGGGGTCCTGCGTTTGGCTCTAGCATTCGAACGCGTTCGACGAGTGCAGTGGAGACAAAGGCAACTTTAGGTCTACCCACTACTCAGTGCAATCAGAGTTCGGCGTTCTGACGTCGCCCCCTCGCTCTCGTCTCCTTCACTCCCTCACTTTCTCGGCGGATAGAGCCTCCTTTAGTTTCTGTGGAGTCCCGCGTAAATTTCTGGCGCCAGATACTCGCAAATTGACTGGAAAAGGCAGATTTTTTTTTTTTTTTTTTTTTTTTTTTTTTTTTTTGTCACGACAAAGGGGGGATCGGTGGCCGAGTGGTCTAGCGCACACCAGCTCGGAGCAGGTGAAGCGAAAGCTCGCGCTGCAGAAGAACCCAAAATCCTGGGTTCAGTCCCCACCCCTGCCCGTTTCGATCTGGATGAGCATCGTACCGGCGTGCGGTCGTGTATCACTACTGCGTGATGCACGTTAAGATTCCAGGCTAGCGGTTGCGCACTGGCTCAATTTCTCGTCTACAGCTGGGAGACTCGTCGCCAGTTGAGGCAGAACAAGTTCTAGGCTGTATAGCATCCACACAACCCAATTTTTGTCTCGACAAAAAGGAAAAAAAGTGTTTATATGGCACGAAGTCGGATAGTTGATAGAACGATTATCATGAAAAAGAGCAAGATAGTGGTTTAGAACTGAAAAAAGTGTGACTTTCAGAAACCAATATGAATTGCCCAAATATTTACTAGTACGTGTTCATCTCTAACACACAATACTGTAGAATTCAGCAATCTCCAATTCAGGCGTTCTCAGTGTCCCGTCATTCGATTAAGCTCTAAGAAAAAGTCGCGCGTCTACTCTCTTGTGGTCCAACCCATGACTGCGATCCAGTGTTGTGGCCGTTACTGGAAAAAATTAATGAATAACCATTGCAATGTACCTCAGCCACAAGAAGATAGAGTCTGGTATTTCATTTCTGTCGAGTGCTGCTTTGGGTTCACTAATTTATATTCTTAAGCTCTAATTTAAGTTTTTTTTGTTTGTTTTTTTTGTTAATCTTTGCACCTACCTTGGTATCATGTCGCATTCCAGAGGGTCACGCCCATAGTTTCGGAGTTACAACTGCTGAATCGTGCACCTGACAGACCTCAGACTGAATGCCCGTACTACGTTCCTATAATTACTTCTTTGTAGTGGAGACACCTTATCCACCATTTCAAAGGGACACTGAACTCCCAAATAAAGCACTGAAATAAGAAAGCGAACTTCCACAAAAACAACAACAACAGCGCATTATTTATGTCGAGGGACTTATTTCAGTTATTTTGAAACATACCTCTATATTGAATTGACGTGCTGAAATATTGAAGCTTGCATGGACAATAGGGAACACGACTTAATGCTTCTAGAAAATTCGTGTTTACTTGTACCCCGAATGTTCGACACTCAAACATTCTAGGAGGAATGTTCGAGATGACGAGTATAAAAGATAAGGGGGCCATCATTGCCTTGTTGAGTCTGTCTCGCCCTAACTCGACGCTCGAACATTCTAGGCCGCTCGTTCAATATACCAAGTATCATAGATAAGGAGCCCAGTGCGGCCTTGCCGAGTCAGAGACCTTCCCGCGAGCCAGCTGTTCTGCCGACATCGCGACGCTTGCTGCTGTTGTCTCGACGCCCGTCATTTCTTTTGTATTTGACACAAGTCCACCGATTGCACATTCACTTTCAGTTTTACGCCCGTCGAACCGGTTTCATCCGCGGCAATATCACAATCGCTTCTAACTCAAAATTAGTATAACAAAGTAAATTTTACGATATATTTTCTTCGGGGAAATTTCATGCTATTATATACCTGTTCTATCCATGGGCGCTTAAACAAATCATATTTGAGGGCTCAGTGTCCTTTTAAAGGCATTTCTCACATACAGCACGCCGTTACCTCAGTGACTATTAGTCAGCACTAGAAATTGCTTTTATCTTGCTGAGGCAGCGCTGCCTTCGCGCTATAATGGTGACACAGCCCTGATACAGCCAGTGCCGTACCTATGATGGCGCCCAGGGAAAGTAGTTTTTTCGCTCTCCTGATGATGATGTTGAGAAGGAGGAGGATTTTGTGTAAACTTCCGCGTGTCCTTGCAAGATGGGTAGCTGTATCTCAGCACGTCTGTTCTACTGCATTGTACTGACCATACACGGGAGGAACCAAACAAGACATGGTCCTGTGGCTCCTGTCAAACCATCTTCTAATCCCCGCCTGGCTGGTATTGTGGCAAAATAAAAAGATGACATTTAAAAACTGCATGGACACTAGATAGCGTTGAACCAGACAGAAGAGAAAAACAAAGTGGCAGGTTAACGGTTGGATAAATCACGGAAACGCCTAGCTAAAGTTATAGACATATGGTACAGCAGAAAAACGCTGTTTAGGGAGCTTACATTTTAGTTGCCACTTTTGATTATGAGCAGAACAAGTATACAACATAAAAAATAATACATCCCGTAACTTCATAATGTCTACAACAAAAATTTCCTTGGTTTCGGTGAAGCGATTTGGTCTACAACGTCATCAATATCCCCAATTCGCTCAGTTTCTTTTCTTTCTACACCCAGCAGAGTGAGAGCACGAAGTCTGTCCTGGCCTATGAAATCTCGTAAATGCATTTATTTCATCTTGCTGAACAACCTTTTGAAGTCGGCGATGGAAACTAATACGGTTAACAGTGTTTAAATGGCGATACGAAGATTGGGGAAGACGCCCTTGTCTCTATATTGAGCAATAAATTGAAGTTATTCATGTCCTGATACTTCCAGGTCAGTCTGCTTTAAAACGAACAATCTGCAGTCTAAAATTTCGTCATACAGATTATGTGCGTCGACGTTGCAGCTGTGGAATCATCCGAAACTGCAGCATTATTAAGTTAACCTTGTCGGTAACGTAGTACAGTCCGTCAGTATCCAGCCAGGAAGCCAAACTTGGCATCGCTGTCGTGTAGGCGAGTGAATTTCTCGTCTATTTCTATATGAAGAGGGTCGAGTGCACATTCCATAACCGTTTCCATTCCTTGCTTCTTCGTCGAGCCGTCAGCTTTCGGTTTTTCCCATAACGTTATTTGTTTTTCTTTTGTCTCCGACTCTTTTGTTAAACCTAGATTCCACGCCATTTGCAGAGACGAATCCCTTCATCGATTGATTCAATTACCAGCATTTATCTTTCACGATGAAATTAATTTCGAAGCGCTTTCATGTCTAAGGCAGCATTGTAGAAGTTAAGTTTTGAATTATTTGAGCCGTTTTTGAACAAGACATATGCAAATCAATACCCTGTTCCGAAAGCCGAGCGAATGCAAAAACTCGTAACTCAGAATTGAGCTGTATTGCGCCATTTCTTGTCTCGCTGATTTCATTTAAATTATTTGTCATTCCCTGTAAAACTTAAAATACCTCCACAAAAAAAAAAAAAAGCAATTTAGGTTTTTGTAGTTTTTTTGCAGAAACGAAAAAACTGTAATTTGCAATCATTTTATTTTTATTTATTTTTTGCAGCACTGTTAGCAATGATTTTTTTTTTTTTTTTGCCTTTTACGATTATGTAGTTCTGCCGTTTTTGGACAAGATTTTGTGCAAAGCTCCTCAAAATAACGCAGCCGCGCCGCCATTTCAGTTCCTTTACTGCGTGGGTGGCACCAGCACAAACAAACATGGTGGCTCGCATGAAACAGAGAAACTTCTGGTCTGTATGTGAAGGTAGAAAGCCGAGGAACAGTGTTTCCCAATTTGTGGGTCGCGACCGATTCAGTGCTGGATTGCGAAAAGGTTCGGGAACTTGAAAAACAATTAAAACTTGTGTTCTCAGCTGTGATTTCGATGAAAACAATAGTGCAGGTCGCAGCTAAACATCAAGCCGGAACCGATTGTTGCGGTGTCTAAACTCCGCCCTCGTTTTGGGAAACTGCTTTAACATACCATTTGGCATGCGTTTTTTTTTTTTTTTTCCATTTAGCGATAGTTTCTTGCCCAGCTGATTCATTCTGACTATATTAGTGGGTAAATGAAGTTTCTCCGTAAATTTTGTGCATTACCACTCATTCACTAAAAATAAAAGTGACATCGCAAATAGCGGGGGGGGGGGGGGAGAGAGAGAGAGAGAGAGAAAGAGAGGTGGGGGGGGGGGGGGGGGGAGGGGGGGGGAGGGAAGATCGGTCGCGACGCGATACTAGCGTCGTTCGATTTACCTTCACCTCCTAAGCTGATGCAGGAAAGTGTAGGGCTGTTA